TGTCATATATGACATAAATTAGAGAATCACATATATCGTATATGACATATAAACATTAGGTTTTAATTTATAAATTATCATAGAATTGAGGTCGAGCCGAACTCCTTATCTTAATGACGAGTTACGTAGGTTTTATCTAATAAATGAGCTAGCTCGAGTTCGACTCGACTCAACTCATTTATAAATGAGCCAAACTCGAGCTCTACGCGTTTATTAACAAACCAAATCTGAACATGACAAAACTCGACTCAGCTCATTAAATTTGTTTCAGAATCAAAATGGATTTCTTTCCTTCCGGCTAGGTCAATGGGAAGGCAAAAGCTCTTAGATCATATATGGAACACAAACGCCGCCTTGTTGAATTGTGGATTGTGTGGTGAAAAAAGTGATGAATTTAAAGTTTTGAACTTTATCATAGTTCTTGCATGTTAGACACTGTATTCTGATGCCACGTTCTCGTAGTCATCTGATTAGTGGCATCATTAGTAAGTTTAACCCCCACTCGTTGTAGCCCATGCATTATCAATATGAATGTAGTTGAACGATCTCCAATGTCCCTTTGGACTCAAACCCTTGCCTTAAGGTGGCCAACTATATCTAATATAGTTCCTTCATCGTCTTTCATCAACCTAAACATCCATTTTGGCATGAGGTAGCTTGATATGAAAGTTTTCATGATGAAATCAACCTTACTTTGTCGTATTTTTTGATTTTTTGATTTTAGTGATGAAATTTCAGGTCTTATATATTTATTTACAATCGATCGGGATGGCGCATTATAGTTTCTAATGCGACTAGAGAACGAACACGTACGTTACTTCTACACCTAAAACATAACAATAACTGAAATATATTTCTTCTTATCATTATAACTGAACCACAAAGTACATATTTATAGGAAAACGCAGAAAAACCTAATAGCTAACCCTATGTTACGTACTCGGCCAAGCTATTGCGGCCAACTACGTCTAATCCCAACCCACTCTAAAACATACCTCAATTATCTCCTAAACTATTATTAATAATAACTTATACAAATAAGGAGAATAATAATAATGATTCTGGTGTTATAATGCACCAGAGGAATCAATTTGGAGTTCATCCGGACATGTTTGCAAGTCATAGGAGTAAGAATGGTAAAAATAGCATAGGTCATGACCACATCACGGCCTTGACCAGGGCGTGACCATGTTTGCGGCCGTGAACATAGCCGCGAACTTCAGCAATCAACCAATGAGAGGGTAGAAAGTCTCGACACCCGACTGGAGGGCCAAGAGGAATTTCGACCGCGAAAAAGATCGCGACCGTGATCCCATGTTGGAGGCCACGATCTCGACACTGGAATGATGACAAGACTCGAAGTTCGGGTGATTCAGCGTTGTTTTGGCCTGTCAAGGCCAGTCCATGCCCATAAGAGGTGCGCATCGGGTCCCTATATGCTCTAGACCCCAAACCGAATTCGAACCAAATTCAATTCGATCAATCCGAACTAGAATACAAATCGGTTTTCATGTCCAAACCCAAAACTCTTCCTCTTGGCTTGTGATCTGCCGACTACCATCCCCTCTCTCTCTTCTCATTCATTTTCTACCTCTCCGTTCTCTCTCCTTTTTTCACTCTAACTGTACAACATCAAAACACCAAAATCAATGAAGATCCCAGATGGAGGGGAGGAAGGAAAACAGATACGATGGGGAAGAGTAACAACAAGAGAGAAGGAAGGGAAGTGGTTCGCCGTCGAACACCATGCCACTCCACCAGCCACCATCGAGCGCGCCGCTGCCAAGATCTAGAAACAGTCTTACCCCTTTCTCAAGTTCTGTGTCGTCCTGCTTCAGATCGAATCCAGTCGCACAGCTGCCCAAGGACTGCGACGTCCTGCTTTGTATCCTCTTCTCTAGCAAGTGATGGATGGCGAGAGATGATAAGATGAGAGATGGTAGTGGCTGGCTGGCTGGCTGCCGAGGTTGGGACTTGGAAGGCTATGATCAGTTGTGGCTTGTTGGGGTTTTGGACTATAACATACGGATTGGTATAAATGAATTTCATAAATTTTGAGAAATTCATTCTAGAATGAAACGTTTTTGTGTTTGATATTTAAAAGAATTCATTTTCAATTATAAATTTTGAATTCTATGGAATTGGAACTAGTTATAGCCATTCCGAGAAATTGAGATGGAATTTCCAAATGAATTCCACAAGTACTTACTAATTATAATAAAATGACATAATTATCCTATTTTATTAACTAAATTACTTATACATATGGCATACCAAACACAGGAATTCATTTGCTAATGAATTCTACATGGCATTTCATTTTATTTCTATAGATTTGAATATGACATACCAAACACAAGATTTCATTTGACAATGAATTTTACACGATAATTCATTTTACAGTGAAATGAATTCTGAATTTATTTGGACTAAACCGTATGAAAGGCGAACAAGAGGAGAGGGTTGTGCTTCTTCTCTATTTTCTTAGGGTTAGCAACTAGCAAGTAGCACTAAGAGAGTCGAAAGTGTGAAGGACGAGGCCTGGGGACAAGTGGGATGGGGATGAGGAGGGAGAGGTTTGGGCCGAGGTTGTTTAGTTGGGCTTACGAGTTAGGTATGATATGTGGGTTGGTTATATTTTTGGTTGTTCGGTTCGGTGATCGAAATTCGGGTTTTGTCGACAAAACCCTGGTTTCTAAAATAGTCAGATTTTTCTTCCGAATTCCAAACTGAATATCATTATTTAAGTTCCAATTCGGTTTGTAATCAGTTCGGTCTGGTTTGGTTCGGGTTTTACCGAACTGGCTGTCCATCTCTAATGCCAAGGTCACTGTGATATGCACCAGAAACTGTATAAATACCCACTTTTTTGCAATTGACGAAGGAGAGCTGACCTAAAGTGAGAAATCAGGGTTCTTGGGTAGTTTTTAGAGAGGAAAACACCTCGAGAGAGCTTGGGAAGGGTCAAATTCATCCAAGGATCAAGGAGGAAAGTGCAATCCAAGGAGAAGTATATGATTCCAAGCATTTCCCCTCTTCTTAACTTGTTTTTCCTTTCTCTCTATGACTTGAATCCCTATGATTGTTTAGGCCGGAAGATGAACCTTAGCTTATAGTTTTAGTATGGGTCATATGTAAGCACAATTATGAACCTTTGTTGATGTTTGTGCATAAGAATCTCTTGCTTGATAGCGATTGATTTGTTCTTAACCTAGGCGAGGAATTTCATCCCTTTAGATCAAGATTAGCACAAATATCAATTTGTGTGAGATTGTCTATATCTCATTTGCCTTAGTTGTAAGCTAGATAATAGGGGAATTATCATTGTCTTATTTATGAATTGATGGTATAATTGGGTTTAACTAGAGTGCTTAATGCTTCCAATTAGGGTTTAGATTTGTGTGAATGCTTCTTACATTGATTGGTTGGCCTAGAGACTAACTAGAGATTGCGGTGATCATCTCCTTTTAGTTAGATTCTCACTTAGTTGATGCTTGTTGGGGAAGTGCGTGACCATCGGCTTGTGTACGGACGGATATAATCAGTGTAGAGGAGGTAGAACCATCTTAGTTAAGTAGACCGGTTGAGGTGACATTGGGTCGTTGAACCTAGCTAGGAGGGGGATCGATTGCATGACCATTGAGTCGATCCCCATCGGCTTGTGAGCGCCCACATCAACCTACAGCTAGAGCCTAGAGGGATTCGATGAGAGACAATCATCTCATCTCCGGCGGTCTCCCAACCACTCGATTGATTGTTTAGTTAGTTAGGTTAGGTTAGTTCTACCCCCACCTTCCTATTTGATTAGATAGTAGTTTGGAGCGAAGTAATAGTAAGCCTAAGGTTCTTTTAAAATACTACCGGACACTTTACAAGAAGTCTAGCATCGGTATACTTGTTGTTGTTAGGGTTAGAGTAGATGCGCTTTGACTTTAGATATTTAAAACTCGACCCGTGTACAAGTTAATAACAATCTTACCCCTTGATTCAATATTTGATTCCCTTTATAGGTTGGGGGTTTAACTTACCAACTGATGGTTGCTTTCTCTTGGTTTTAATTTTCATGGAGACCCAATTCACTCAGCCTACAAAATCGATTTTCTTTGAAGATTGATTTTGGGAGATGGAACATTCATTGAAGGTTTGAGAAATAGACCTAGATGAGAAATGAAGGACAGCTAATAAGTAAATGCTTATATATTGAACTAAAACGACTTTTGGGGTAAACAAGGTGTTTTAAATACTATAATCATAAGTCCAATATAATAAAATACAGCATCAAATCCACCAAACAAATTTTAAAATTCATCATAACCCAAGTCCATTGTAAATCTTTATTTTCTTTTTCAAATTCAAGAATTTTATCAAAATTTTCCTTTCCAAATTCAATGGCCAAAACTTTCAATTTTCAAATCCGAACTTTTAGTTTTAACTAGGATAAATACAATTTAATATCCAAACCTTTCATTTTAAACAATATAATAGCCAAACATTTTCGAAAACAATCTAATATCCAAATCGTCAACTTTCCGTCTGTTTGACCGTTAGTTGACACTTCAAAAAAGCTTTGTTTAGGGGAAATTGTCACAATACAACTTTGTTTTCTTGTTTTGGCATTGCAGATGACTGAATATTTAGATATTCTATACCATTATGGTGGAGTCATGGACTTCTCGGATTTGGAACCACGATATGTTGGTGGTTTTTCAGAGAAAATATCGATGGATATTGATGAAGTGTCGTATTTCGAACTTTTTTGAAGTGTCAACTAACGGTCAAACGTACGGAAAATTGACGATTTGGATATTAGATTGTTTTAGAAAAGGTTTAGGTATTATATTATTTAAAATAAAAGGTTTGGATATTAAATTATATTTACCCTTTTAACAATATCTTCCTATGAAGTAATATAGTGACACCTTAGTGTGAAACTGAAAACAAAATACTTCTGAAGAAGACAGAGAAATGGACTTCGAAATTTCAATAGTCAATTGGATTGAAGCTGTGATCAAACAAGGAAACCAAAGCAAGGAAGGAAAGCAATGAAGTCATTTCCAGTCCCACCTTAAAAGCGCCATTCACGCCTCGACAAAAAAAATTCCATATGAATTTGATTGGTTTAAGGAAAGAGGAGCATAGACAAACCCAATGGAGCCACATTCACATTAAAGATAAAACCCTGCCGGCCATGGATTACACGAGAATAACAAAGAGCAAAATCAAGGAAATCAATCTCTGTATCTGGACTCTGGACTACTACTACTACACCCCTAAATCAATCTTTCCCTTCCTCAACAAACTGACTTGCATGCAACTTAAGAAAAACGAAACCAGAAAAACAATGAATATAAAGAACCACCCCCAAAAACATCCACGACCCTCTGAGTTCCATCTCTTTCCCACCCAGCCCAATAAAAACAAAGGCGAATCATCATCATCTTCTTTCCACATTCCAAAACTCTTAAGGAGGCTTGCTACTGCAAATGCCCCCCTCTTACTGCTGCTTGCACTCTGGAGGCCGCTCTCCCTGCTGCTGGCCATCCGCGGCTTGTGTCTTGCTTCCACCACTCTTCTGCAAAACGATTAAAATCAGTTATCGGTCGTTAGTCGTTTGCCTGTTAGAGCAAAACATCATGGGAAATGGAAACTATTATCTGTCTGCAACAGAAATGGAAATATGGAGAGAGTTGTTAATACCTTTCCACCAGCAGAGCCCTGCAGAGCGTTTGCCAGCAAAAGTAAACGAAGTTAATGCTCTCGAACAGAAAATAGGAAACCAAAATTGCATGAAAATGGGGGGAAATATAAACCACTTGTATGCTGAGTGCAGATATTATAATATTACAACCACCTTCTTAGGCTTTCCCTCGTCTTCATCTTCTTCATCCTCATCATCCTCGTCATCCTCGTCATCATCTTCATCTTCGTCATCATCTTCATCAATGTCATCGTCTTCATCGTCATCCAGATCAAGCTCATCATCATCAGCCGGTATAGCCTCCCCTGTGTACCATGACACAGCATGGGGGATAATCTTGTCCCGGATGGTAGACCTGGATCACCATCACAACAATCGAATCAACTAAAGAGTCAGGGCTATGAAACAACATTAGGATGCAGATCAAGGCCAGGCCAGAAAATCACTACTCACCCAATGTCATAGTCTTGTTCCATCTGATTCTGAAGCTCTTCAGCCTGTTTCCCAGGACAAACATCCGTAAATGAAGGTTAACAAACCCGATTAAAAACTGCAAGTCTCGATGAATAAAGGTTACAATAAGGTTTAGAAAGTCGTACAGTATCTTCATCAATCTCCTCATCGTCCTCAGGGACTTCTGGAGGACTGAAGAAGTTGAAAAAGCTTTCACAATCCTCAGTTTTGGTTATGGGCTTAGCACTCTTGGACCCCTTCTTTGGCTTCTTCTTAAGGAGCTTTTGGGTCAAGCACTTCCCTGGATACCATTCGATTTCAGTCCTACAAATTACACGATCACCACCAATCACGTAAGAGAAAATTCAGGATGGGCAGACAACTAATAATATAATAATAATAAAGTGAACAGAACAATACAAATTGTCAAATGTCGTTTTACCCAATAGCTTTCTCCAGGATTGGCTCATCCTCGTCAATCATGTGATATGTCTTGGTTAGGACAGAGTTCTTGAAGTAAGGATTGGTATCAAAGAAAAACTCAAGCTTGAACCCTTTCGGCTCCTCCACTCTGCACCATTTGATATCTTTCAAATACTTCAAAGCTCCTTCATCCCTCTCAGTTATCTAATCCAAGTAAACACACAAAAGAAATGGACCATATTGTTACAAAACATTTATCTTCCTCAATATATCCAATACATTAAGCTATTTGGTGTTGTGCTACGAGCTACGAACCTCCTCAGTCAAAACTTCATTATTCTTCATGGCCAGGAGCCAAAAGTCTGGGACACCTTTCACTGCCAATAAGAGAAAACAAACTTAACTTCAAGTTCCATACCTAAACTGAGGCAACACCACTCCAAATGAGTAAGAATGTGAATTGATACCTTCAACTGCCTCATTCTTATCCCCCTCTGCTGAGACTTCCTTCTTCGGAACTTCCTCACCTTCGGCCACACCATTGACAAGCCCATACCGCTGCATGACAATAACCAATATTTTGTTATGAAGCTTCAATCAATCAAATTAGCAAATACCCACAATCATTAGAGGCAGCAACCATATACCATCATGAGTCACACATTACCTGGGAGTAAAACGGTTGGTACAGCTTCTGGTACTTGGCTTCCAGGGCCGCCCTCTCCTCAAAAAACTTTGCTTCCAGCTCATCATGTTGGCTCTGTTCAATCGTTCTATGCATGTTAAGAGGTGCAAACACAAAAGAGCGAGATCAAATTTAGAAAGAGGTCACAGCTTGGTAACACATGCCTGAATTTCCCTGAGACGCTCCACACGCTCACGTATTGTGGGAGGCAAAGCCTCGATCATATCAGTGTGCTGACCAGCCAAATTTTGCAGCTTATTCTGCACAATCCCAAACAACAACAATAATCTCGGTATCATCACCAAACTGAAACCCTTCTCTCCTCAAATAAACACCTAACCATAACATACCCAACAATCACAAGCTTTTTTGCACAAATTATCAATTATCACACCCAGACTCCATATCAAGAACAAAACCCAATACCGTACACAAATTCTTCAGAACAACAAGAACAAACCCAGAATAAAAAAGCGCCATATCGAGCAACTGAAGATAAGGCGGCAAAGCAAGGCACTGAAAAAAACTGACCTTGAGTGCGTTAACAAGCCCAGCACGATCCCCTTCGTTCAAAGCTGCGACCCAAAAACGCCATCCACGGTCAATAGACAGAGCAAAATACTAAACGGAGCAGAGAAAAAGAGTTATTAGGGTTTTTCTTCTACCTGCGCTAAGATCGGCCATGTTGAAGTTAGCCTTGTCGCTGCCCATGGTGTTTCAGAAGGAAGCTCGAAAAGCAACAGAAGTGAGAAAGCTTGGAGGAGGCTGAAGTGGCCGTCTCCCTAAAACCCTAGATTAGGGTGGCAGAGAGAGAGCAAGGGAAAGGAGACGAAGCCGCGGAAAAGAACCGAGGAAAGGAGAAAAAGCGTCTACCAGCTCTCTCTCACGGCTGAATGGTTGAATTGAATCGCTTTGGTTTGGCTTTCGGGTATTTAAAGCCCTGCGCCCTGCCCCTGGCTTGGCTGGCATCAAATTTTTTGCCTTTTAATTTATTTATTTTTTCATTACATTCTCTACCATTTTTATTTTCTTTAGGGTTTTGTTTCCTTTTCTCCTTGGGAATGGAATTATTTGTTTAGTTTTATTCCAAAATTCGAAATTATTTCCCTCCTTTGTATATTTTTCAATATGGCATTTTTAGTTGTTACAAATTCCCTTTGAGAAATAACAATGACGAATTTCTTAAGGACATAATGGACATTTTGGATATCTTTGGCTTCTTTAGTGTAGCTATTTGTTTCAAGTTTTGTGTTAACAGGAAACACATCTCAAGGCAGAAATGTTGGTTTTTAAAATCGAAGTGAAAGGATAAAATTAGGGCACAAGCGGTGGAACATTGACATTTAGGGTTCGGTTTGATTTTTTTAAGTAAAGATACTTTCATAAAATAGTAAGAAGAATGTTATTTATTATCGTGATTAGTGAAATTCAAATGAAATCGTATCACTTAACCCTATTTTCCGAAAGCGCATGAGAGTGATCCAATTTACGTAGTTACGATATATAGATTATGCTAACATGATTGTTGTTTATTAATATAAATACTTATTGGTAATACTTCATTCTCGGTAATAATTTTAAAATATATTGTCATATATGAAAGTTAAGTACATGACACGAGCGCAATTCTAGTTTTAAATTTAAGACAGGCACACATATAACTAGATAAGTTGTAATAAGTTGGTCAAAGTTATACTTCTGTTTGTTCTAGGCGATTCACTCATCGATTTCCTATTCGTGTATGAGTTAATACACCTGCAATCATCATAAGAAATCTATATAATAACTTATGTTAAATGCAAATACCAATCAATAGTATAAAACTATAAATAAGGAATTGTTGTTTATGTGATTAGTGAAGTTATATTACACCGAACATTGTTACTCAATATGAATGTCTATCGAGAGTACTTCACAAATATAGGTTATTTCAAACTTAGAGCATATTTTTCAAGTACGCGTGTAGCTTACACGCATTATTATGATCGTAAATTTTTTAATAGATTCCTTCATAAATAATTTTGGTTTTAAATATGGGGTCAATGCAAGCAGTACACAACAATGCACTAAACTAAATAACAGGTTACGAAAATAACTACAGCTAGTTCTCTCTATATAAATTTACAAAGTAGTGATCAAAGCATAATCTCAATGAAATTTTGATAAAACGGAATTAACCAAGTTTTATTTCAACTAAAATTTGATGCATGGCAGACGGATATTGTTATAGAGAATATAACAATATTTTTATTTTATCAATAACAATGTTACAATTTATGCGCAGATGAATTTTTTTTACTGAAAATATTTCTATTAATTCAAATACATTTTTAAACATAAAATGTGAATTGACTTGCCTGTCCTTCTTTATTTTTTTATTCATATTTCCTGCAAATTAAAATTTATGGTATATTATTTAACAAAAAAATATTTATGGTACATTATCTTATCTCCCTGGGAAGCTGGCGTGATTATCTTTTTCTTTCTCAAAATTGTAATGTTTATGTTATTTGCCTTTTATTCTTAGACTGGTTTCCAAATAATTATTGTCATGATAAGTTCAAAAGACAAACAAATATAGAGTCTACTAAAAAATAAAAATATTTATTAACTTTCTAAAATTCTAAAATGAATTCATATAATTCGGATGGAAAATGAAAAAAATTGTGGGCAAATGTGAAGGTAGAGGCAATTTCCAGATTACACACCATAATAATAGATATGCACACACATTAAGCATAGTGAATGTACAAATGTATTTGGACAAGTTTCTTTAGTTGTCTATGGCGACTTATCTCAAAATTTTATATTTCTGCCAAAAATCGAAATTATTTACCTTATTTAATCTTTTTGCTATATATATTTTTAATTTCAGAAGGAGTTTAAAAAATGTACTTAGCCACTTAATTAATACTTAATAGACTTTTGTGGTTTCTCATTTATATTTTGATAACTGTTGGGGTATGACAATAGGTAGAGAAAAGGGCCCAAAAGGGCAGTCAAGGCCCGAGATGCGAGCCTAACGAGGATAGGGCTCGGCCCAAGTGGACAACTGATAGCTTGAATGGGTGGGACGCAATTTCTGACACGGGGTGCATAAGGACAAGGAGACACAACGACCGAAAGCATACGGAGGGTTCAGTGAAGTGAGGTCATGCGCCTTGGACCTCTGAAAACGGTGTCAGATGGTTGAGGCGCATGGTAAGAAGAAAGTACGGTGCATTTGTTACGGTGATGACGTGAGGCGGATTTGAGGGGGGGGGGGCAACGATGGGCAAGGCTCCGAGTATAAATATGAGAGTAGGTGAACCTCATTTACTCATGTTGGATTTTCTCGCTAAACTTTCCACTACTTCTCTCTCTAAATCGTGGTGCTAACTTAATTGTCGGAGTACTAACGGACCACCTAAGTCTGTTGTGCGCTTCACATGTAGAACGCTAGGCGCCTTGCAAGCGGAGGAAATTGATGATTGGGGCGCCATAGGAAAGAGAAGAAAATCTTGGCTCAAACAATTAGCAAGCCAGAAAGGGGAATATAACCGAAGAATTGGAGGACCCATGGAGGCAGGGGTGGAACAGAAGGAGAAAGGGAGTGCATGTTGCACGAAGCAACTGTGAAAGAAACAGGGCCACAAACTGAACAAGTGTGGTTGGGTGGCCACGCAACCACACTTTCTCACCGATTCTAAGCGCCAAAAGAGGCATTTGACAGCAATTGTGGCATGTACAATTTGCGGGGGAGCATAAAAAAACAATGTTTTATATAGTTATAAAGTGCCCATATGCCTTGGTTGTGTGAACAACTTTCCTAAACAACGAACCAAATGCGAATTTCTTCGTGGAGAACCCAAATAAACAGATCATGCATTACATCTCAGGCTAGATTCAGAGTATTGGTATTGAGTTTTTTGCAGGCACATATTGGCTTCTATGGAAGAACCAAAATAGTCATAAGTTTGAACGCAAACTCGAGACCACAACTTCAGTTGCACATCAAAGGGATAAGGAAACACACTATGTCAGCCCACAAGAAGGAGAGAAGTCTTTTAGATTAGAGAGGAGTAGAATGATGGCTAATCCGCTGGAGACCATCACATCACTAGGCAAACATTAACAATGACATATCGATTGTTCACTCTTCTTTTGATACGACGACAATCAGCGTCTTGAGGGGAAATGATGGTCGCTTAATTCACGCATTCTCAGTGAACCTTTTGGAGGAGGGTTCTATCACCCATGCAGAGCTGGCTCGATTTGCGCATATACTCAAAATTGATTGGGAATTGGAGATTAGGAAGGACTTTATGCATACAGACTCACAGACGGTCATCCGACTAATTCATACAACATCTAATACTCATCCACACTTGTGTTGGTTGCTGAGATATAGAGTTTGTTGGTCATATCCTGGCAGGTGTGTTAGGTCACTCCTTGTCGATTGGAGAACATATAATTACTACTTGGTCTGCAAATGAGTTAAGGTGCTCGTGAGTGGCATGGAGCTCAGATCGATTAAAACTCGCTCGATGCTTGGCTTGATTTTTAATAAGCTAGCTCGTGAGCTGGCTCATTTTTTAATGAGTTAAATACGAGTCAGAGCCTCTTCAACTCGATCAAGTTAGCTCGGCTTGTTGAGATGGCTCGTTTAAAGCTCATGAGCTTACTCGATAGTGTGGCTGGAGAGTTAGCTCCATCAAAATTCATGAAATAACTTGATATTGTGGCTCAAAGCTTAATTCCATTTAAGATCATAAGTAAACTAGATGGTATGGATCACACACCAACTTGATTAGCTTCTCATTACTAGCTCATAGACTGGCCTATTGTAAGTAAAATAACACGTAGGTTGGTTAGATTACATATGTTTCAACGTATTGTTAGCGATATAACTAGTAGGTCGACTATACTACATATCTTAGAACTCAATATGGTTTAAGACTTTGTATACATGGCTAAATATCCATATATGAATTGTATGTATTATCTTAAATATATGCATGCTTAAACACACATTTCACAGGGATATCGCCAATCAAATATGAGTTACTAATCACATATAGACTTCGAAATTTAGTATATGAATTGGTTTGTTGAATTATGTTCAAATTTGTTAATAATTTTTCGTTGGAACACCTCAATAAAGGTTAGGTGATGAAAGCAACCACTATTTATATTTTACACCTCAATCTCATACTAGAGCAACAATCAATTCAAATTTTGCTTGTTAATTAATGTCCACCACCATCATTAGGCAACCACTTATTCAAATTGTGCTTCCCTCCATATGGAGTGGCATGTGTAGTTGCAATTGAACATCGTGTACTGCCTAGTGGTACAACAAGTTTTTATTTTTACCTTTTTGCTCTATTTCCTGTATTGTGAAATGTGGTAGAAGTAAAAGGATGGGTTTTTTCTAAATTAGAATTCATAGCATGGCCTGAAGTGATGTCTAACAAATTGTCCAGTGAACGAACTATTGCTTTGCATTGGTTCACAATGTCTACATAGGTAACTGTCAAAAGAGTTATTGGGTTGTTAAAGCCTGATATGAAGTTGAGCTTAAAATACGTTGGCTCGTTAAGCTGGGCTCGATGAGCTCGTTCATGAGCTGATAGCGAGTCAAGCCCGATCCATGGTTTGTTCATTGCTGGGTTGATTCGCGCGTTGTGCATGGTTTGTTCAGTGTTGGGTTAATTCCCTTTGTGCAGTGTTCTTTATGTTTTATCTCTCAAGCATATGGTTTGTTAACCAAATGCTTTGGAATAGCTCCTCTTGATCTAGTTTCAATTTTCTTTGGTTGGTCTCTTTTTATACGCGGTAACTGATCTTTCAGAATGCAATTCAAGTGATCATTAGTAAAAAAGAAACAATAAATATCACTAAAAACCTGCATAGGTTGAA